GAAAGAGAGTGATTGATTTGTAAATAACAAGTTTTATGTAATGGCCCCTTAAATTTATTAGTATTGAATTAAGGTAAGGATATGCTGTCTCAAACTCTGTTTGTTATAAGAAATCAGCCATTAATAAGCCAAAACATCTGTCAAACTTCGCTCAAATTCAATCATTGCATCCTCCACCAGAAAATTTTCACTAAAGACATATACTATCATTCTTTTAAGCTTAAAAACCCCCACTTTCTGAATTCTGCTGAAGCTTTTTGCCATTTAAGGTTTGATTCATCTGGCAATAAAATTTACAAATAAAAACAAAAACTTTGCTGAAATACACCAATTATTCTAGCTATTTACTCATAAGTAAACCTCTAAGACTCAATAAAAATCAAAAGGAAATTCACTGTCAAGCACGAACTGCTCCACTCCGAACTCCATTCCCAACATTTGCGAGCTTTCAATTGAACTCGAAGCACAGAAAATATCTGCAATCTCTGAATCCAAACCCACGTAGTTCTCTGTATTTGAAGCGGAGGAGAATACGTTGCTCTCAGGTTTCAAGCAGATTGCAGACGTTGAGGGGAAAGAGAATGAAGAAGGAGACTCTGGTTTCTGATCCGTTGAGCTCAGAGCTTCGTTCTTCACCTTAAAGCTCTGGTTTTGATGTATAATCTGTTCGTTAGTTGAAATGAGAGGTTTATGGGCGCCATTGATGCAGGTGTGAGCTCCTCTGTATGTGATGTTGAAGATGGAAGTGTTGTTATCTGAGCGCTGTACATGCTTTGTAGCTAGGCAGCCATGGGAGTGACGATGGGTACATCTGTAGTAGCACCTGTGAAATAGGCCAGAAGAAAGTTGAGATTTTTCTTCTTACTTTCATAAATAAGTATGTTGTTTATTTTACGAATCATGACTGTTTCAATCTCTAAAAAATATGTCATTAGAACGATTTTATCATTTAACGCTGTGTTTAGTTACAAAAAGTTTGATCTTGAATGTGATAATTACATACAGATCACCGGAAATATTGATATTTTCAAAGTAATCTCCCAAATGATTATAATTAACAAAATTGTTTTAAACTGTTAATAACAATTAGCTTAAAAAACAAATCCAACCTTGGAAACTTAGCTCCAAGAATATCCTTCTGTCCATACTTCCTCCAGCTATGTCCATCTTCTATTGCAATCTCCATGGCCGAACCAGAACAAGCTTGAACTTGTCCACTCCACCTCGGCAAACTCTTCCTAAAAACACAAATCAAAAAAATATATTTTTTCTCTTCAAAATCGAATTTTGATAGAATTAATATCTCAAAGAAAGTAAATTGGATATGTTCTATAGAGAAATACCTCTTCTTGCACATCTCCCTTCTTTCAATCTCCTTGAAGCTTCTCTCAGAACTATGGCTGTTGGTAGCAGAAGGTGGGAACCTGTAGCTCCTCTGCTCTATGAGCTTAGTCATGGTGATTGCTGCAGAGAATGTAGCCTGAACTTTGCTGGATAACAGCAAACAAGTTTCAGAAGAGAAATTATGGTGATTATCAAGGTGTGCTTCAAGCTCCATTATATGTTCATTGCCTTGGTTTAACAAATCCATAAGCATTTTTATGTCTTGGTTTTGGATCATCTCCATTTCCCTTCTTAGCTGAAAGAGAAAACTAAACTAAAATTGAAGTTTCGAAGTGAAGAGAATTCTCATGGTGAGATGAAGATTAGGGTTGGCTATGGGGATTTTAATGGTGGTGAAGGAGGTTTGACTGAGAAAAATTGTGCTCTTTGGTTTTAGTGTTTTGAATCTCTGACCAGTCATTGAAAATAAAGCAAGAGATAGAGAGAGAGAGAAGGGATGACTGATTCTTTGATTAGAATTTCTATATGCTGTTGTTGGGATTGGAGAAGCTTCGTGGAGGTGAGGAAAAGACTTAAAACGCGTGGAGTAGTGACGTCAGATATGCGAAAATGCTTACGTGTGAATGACGTATGTTTACGGACACGTGTAAGCAATATTTTTTTAATTCTGCATATCATTCATTGATTTCACCTAATTGAGACTCAAGCATATAATATTAATGCATTAATATTATACACGCAAGCATATAAATAAATAAATAAATAATAAATAGAAGAGATGCTTGGAAGCCCAACACATTTGAAATGATTCCAATGTATAGATGTAATTTACAAGATTTGTTTTGGCTTTGAACAATAGAAAGAAATATTAGCAGAGTGAGAATGGTCGACTTTACTTTCACTTAAAGAGTGACAAAAATATATTAGGCGAGTTGCAACAGCTCAATAGCAGCATCTGAGGACTGATGGCAGATGCCACATTGTGTAGTAAATGACAAAGGTAGTCCGACGACAATGATGTTGACGGTCGAGCACAGAGGTGGTCCAACCATGGCAATTGGCAAGGGTGGTGGTGATATAAACTGATTGATGATAGTCTGGTGGCAACAGCAGTGATAACCGAGTGACGATAGTCTACCGGTGGCAAGACTTGAAGTATTTTCTTCTTTATTCAAAGAGATTAGTAGATCAAAATTTTAATAATTAAATTATTGAAACACTTCTTAAAAAGCATAAAAATCAATTGTAGGATCATCAAAACCATAACTGTGGTTGTAATATAAATATTTACCTTTTAAAGTGCACTCCACACTAATTTCAACTCAAAGCAAAAAAATCTAGTAATTTAGCCTCATGATACGAATTTAACTATTATTTTGAGATTTTGATTCTCATAGACAAACATAAGCCTTAGAAAGTGTCGAGAACAAAATGACTTTTTAGTATATTTTCACTATATCTATATAATGTGTGTGTGTGCGCGCGCGCACGCTCGTTAGTTTGAATTTTAAGGCTTTTTAAACAAGTAACGTGCGTGCGCGCGTTAGTTTGAATTTTAAGGCTTTTTAAACAAGTAAAAATATTTATGATTGAATTACAGAATATAATCGATCAATATTATGTTCCTTTATGACTATATCAGTGTTGCCATCAATTTTTTATATCAAATGTGCAGGATGTTCACATGAATGTCTCAGGGCTTCTCACTATTCACTTGTAGTGTCTCGTTGCTCTAGACATTCATCTAGGCTTCTCAGTATGAGTTTGAGGCACAGATCTAAGGTTGGCATTGTTTCAGCCTTACCCAGGAGAGCTCACCTGTTTCCGTTATGTTTTTTCTCTCTTTTATTTTAGATGGAGTCGTTAGCCTCTCGATCATCATATACTTCCATTCTCCGAATAAATGTCTCTTTCGGGTCATATGAATATCCCAAGAAGGAGAGGTATCAGAAAATATGGGCATACGACAAATATGATAGACAAGAGAAAAAACAAAATATGGAGAGTCTACATGCGATAAACCTCGCAAGGATAGGTCAAACATGTCCACCCGAACAAGATTGGGCGGAGACACCTTGAACCAACATCTACGAAAGAATGTCTACGTAGGTTACCCATAACTAAAAATTCAGATGTGTATGCATGTTGGGCTCAAAGCACTCCCAAGGGGACATGTTCCACTTAATTAATTACATATTGGAGGATGCCCAGGAATACTCTCGATAAAAAGAGTTTCGCTCGTATTATCATAGACTTGGGAAAATGGGATATCAAAGAGAGGTTATTTTGTGTGGGAACGCCCATATGCTTCAAAACTCTGGCTAAGCCATTAGGCAGAGACTAAGTCTCTCACATCTCAAGTAGGCAGCGGCTTATCGACATATGATACCCACGAAATAACGAATAATCATCTCAACAGGGGTACCCCAATACGTCAAAGCACATTCGGGTTGTAAGCTTAGTGGACAAATCGTTGTATCCCAAACGAGCGACAGTTCATCGGTATCAGACCGTCAAGATGACACTAACGAAATCAACAGGAGCGAAAGGGCTCAATAGGGGTAATCAAAGGAAAGGAAGGAGTAATCCCTAAGAGGCAGAGGCAGCTATGTCAGGGTACCACGGACCCATCATCCCAAGCTATTGAAATCACAAGTCTACCTGGTCATGAAGATAGTCAACCCAACACTTCCTGAGATCCTCGATCAGCAATCTGTGAATTGCGATCCACAGGAGACCTCGGTAGTTCTAAGGTTAAAGGAAAGAAACATATCCTAGGACTATTAGTCGGAGCTCCGAGAGGTGAGTATTATACCTGCCGAAGTGGCAAGAATATCTCAGGAAAGAAAGAGAGAACATTCCGAACAAGAGGACTTACAACCCGTCTGGGTCGGGGAGCCTCCTAACGACCTAGGATATACAAAATAACGGAAAAAAATTTAGCATTATATCAAAAATAAAATCATTATTTATTTTTAAAAAAATGAAATGCACTTTCACATCTTTTCATGAATAGATACAACATCAAATCGTTTATAAATATAAATATGAAACTTTAGATGTTAAATATATAAATACAAAGGAATTTATTGGTATGAATGAAATTTTTCAATGAAAAAAAGAATTATTATAATACATTAACTATAGTCAAAGGTCAGTCTTCTTCTGTGATAAGGTATTTCTATAAAATAGATAAATGCTACGTTTCCATAAATTTCTTCGAAGGGTCTTGAGATGATTCATTTATGCCCATGAAATGATTATGTAATTTATTTGTTATACAATAAAGTCATGTAAATATTCAAAAAGTAAAAGAATGTTTCTTCCACGAAGGAATTGGGTACTGCCAAGGAAAAGGGGAGGTTGTTAATGAGAAAGAACTAAATATGTTGTAATTTATACTGCGCTCCATGTCTTTTCATATATTTCATAATTCTTTTTAAAATTTATCATTATCTTTAATAATTTTTTTTTTATTTTTTTAGAATTTTATGCTGAATACAATATCTTTTTGGAAAAGATATTACATCTGGACTCCTCACGTAGAGTTACGTG